GGGAGCGGCGTGCGAGACAGGAGAGGTCTGCTTTGCCATATGGATTAACTCCCTGGCATGGGATGGAACTCATGCTGCAGTGGCTTCAGATAGCTTCACAGTGCTGAGACTCAACCCCTTGTGCCACCAGGGAGGCCCCGGTATGGAGCACTTTTCAATGTCCTTTTTGACCATTTGTATATTTTTGGAGAAACGCCTGTCAAATCCTGCACCCATTTTTTAATTGGCTTGTGCTTTTGCTGTTGAGTTTTATGTGTTCCTGATGTACTTTGGATAGTAATCCTTTGCTAGATATAATGTTTGAAAATGTTTTCTCCCTCTGTGTAGTTACCTTTATTATTTTTTTTAATCTCTGCAGTGTTTTGGTTTAATGTAGTCTTACTTGTGGATTTTTGCTTTTTTATTGCTTTGGATGCCATACCCAAACCATTGTTGCCCAGACCATTGTCAAGAAGTTTTTTCTCTATATTTTCTTCCAGGGGTTTTATACCTTCAGTTCTTTAGGACTTTAGTCCATTAAAGTTAATTTTTTGTAAGTGGCATAGGATTATTATTTCACATGTGGATATACAGCTGTTTGCAGTATGCTTTGATTTCATAATTTTAGTGTTGAGGATGCATTACACACTTGCTGTGACAAAAAAAAAATTGAGTGTTACATGATTTAAATATATGAATTAATGAAATGTGAACTTAAGAAGTCCTTCCACTGGGCCTCCCCTGGTGGCATAGGCGGTTGAGCACAGCACTGTGAAGCTGTCTGCAGCCTCTGCAGCGCCAGTTCAATCCAGGCCGGCCGGTGAGAGTCCCACACAGCATGGCAGACCTCTCCTGTCTCACCCGCTGCTCCCCTCAGCAGTGCATTTCATCAGTCTGCCTGTTCTGTTCCCTGCTCTGTCTCTGGTGAATCCTCTCACCCTCCCGCGCATCTGGGCTATACCCCAGTTTGTGTATAAATAAATAAATCTTTAAAAAAAAAAGTCCTTCCACTGAGAAATTTTAGTGTGCTCCCCCCAAAACGATAAGACATCATGTTGATATGGATTATAAAGTGAAAAAATTAATCCTGTGGCTTTGACTGTTCATGTAAAAAAAGAGATAAACTATGTATTTAAAATAGTACAAGTATATATATATATATATATATATCTCCAGAAAATACTGTAATAATATATTGTGATCCTCTTTTATAACCAGTTATTAAAATGATGAACTTTAATTAAAACAAGGCTAAAGGCATGAGCCAACATTAAAAAACTGAAGATGAGCAATCAATACAGCATAAAATTGCTCAGTGTCTCTAGAAAAATTAATTTCAGAATTATTTTACTGGTTATGTAAGGTTAAAAAAAAATTTAGAATAGGATCCCCTGTGGGAATAAGTTTGGCAAACCTACATTTCCAAACTTCAGATGTGAGTGAAATTCATACAAACTTTCTGGAGTCAATTTCATCAGAACTAAAAACAAATTTACCTTTTAAGTCCAAAAACTACACTTTTAGGAAGTTACTACAAGAAAATAACTTGGATCAGTAGAGAAAGATGTATGCTCCAAGGCATTCCTCCACATATTATTTATGATGGTATAAAACATCTAAGTGAGCATCAATAGGTATGGGAAGACTAGTATTGATCCATAAGATGGAATTCTAAGTGATCATTAAAAATGACTTTGTAAGGTCAGAAAAAATGGTAAAATATTCATTGCATATTGTGTAATGGGAAATGGAGTTTACTAAATATATACACACACACAAGGACAATATATACTTATAATATACATATATTATCCTATAGTATAATCCTTATAACATATATAACCCTGTATATAATATAATCCTTTCATATTATCCCAATATTGTGTGTTCAAAATAACACCAAAGTATTAGAAGCCAACAAATCACCACAGACAACACTACAACATACTCATAGATAACAATAAAGAACAATATTTTTTTCACTAATTTTCTAATGTAATTAAAAGAACATGTTTCATAAGACTATGACACCTCTGGTATATTAATTACTTTATTTGTATTTTCCAAGTAGTATTATTTTGTCATGACCTGTTAAAATTGCACTGATGTTCCACAGTTAAAGTTCTTCATAGACTTCCATATTATCTGACTGTTCATTTGAAGTTACTGATGTTCAGATTTTTTTATTATTACATTACAAAATTTATTACAAAATTTCAAAATTCTTGGATACATTTTCATAAGATTTTTAAATGTTTTTAAGTACAATAACATAGAATATGGCACAAATCACCAAGTTAATCATCCAAAAAAAAAAAAAACCTCCCAAAACCTAAAATATTAATAGCTGTTCATCTTTGAGCTATTCAAAATGATGTGGTGGTTTATTTCTCTTTAGAAGCAATCGCAAATGCAGTCAGCAAATCACTTGACATGCCAGTTTTAAAATATAATTCCAGGGTCCTCCCTCGTGGTGCAAATAAGCACAGCACTATGAAGCTATCAGCAGCCACTGCAGCACAAGTTTGATCCCCAGCCAGGTTGCTACCCACATGGTGCAGCAGACCTCTCCTGACTTGCTCGCTGCTCCTCTCAGCAGTGTATTTCAGTTGATCTGCCTGTTCTGCCCCCACTCTGTCTCTGGTGAATCCTCTCACCACCCCCCACCCCCCCACATCTATGGCCTGTGCCCCAGTTTGGGTATGCATAAATAATCTTTTTTAAAAAAGGAATGTGATCAGAACCCCAAGTTCAGGGCATGTCTTTATTAGGGGCTGGAGTTGAAGGAATTCTGAGGACTTGGACTTCTTTTGGAGGGTTAGGCAACTAAGACTTTTTGACCTGTGCGATACTCAGTGGAAGGCCCACTCTTTCAGATGGGGATAACCACCCCACTTAGAAGATGAAGGAAATGAGCCCAGAGAGGACCAAACTATAGACATGGGTCAGGAGGGAATATATGATGCATCACTTCACCTCCCCAAGTACCTGAGGGGCTCTTGCTCTCAAAGTTAATTCTATGGGTAGACATCAGTTCTTTGTTGTCTGTAACAGAAGCCTTGGGCTATAAAGTCTGAGAGGAGGTGTTGGTTAGGAAAAGGGAGTTCCTCAGAAGTTGTGCAGTGTCCACACACTGAGTGGTAGATGGAAGTTTCAGTGGAATTTATTTCAGTTGGAAATTCCAACATAAATTGGAACAGGACAAGCCTCACCCAGAAAAAGAGATATAGCTGACTGCAACCAGTCTCCAACTACAGTCAGCACAGAGAGGTAGTGGTTAAGGGAAAATACAATACTCATGATGTGCCCTTACAGGGGCTACAACTCCACCTTTCCCTTCCAAATACAGGCTGGATGTGAAATGATATGGCACACAAGGCAAGGGGAGCTCAACTTCAAGACAAAAAATGGGATTAAGAACTTATCAGAAAAATGGGCCTCCCTGGTGGTACAAGGGGTTAAGTTGAAGCACTATGAAGCTATCTGCAGCCGCTGCAGCACAAGTTCGATCCCCAACCAGGGAGCTCCCCACATGGCGCAACAGACCTCTCCTGTCTCGCCTGCTGCTCCCCTCAGCAGTGTACTTCAGTCAATATGCCTGTTCTGTTCCCCACTGTGTCTCTGGAGAAACCTCCCCCACGCCCCTGGCCTGTATCCCAGCTCTTGTATGCATAAATAAATAAAATCTTTTTTTTTTCTAGAGATACTCTTGAGTATAGTAAAAACTTCAAATTGTCCCAAAAACATGTACAAGAAGAAGCAAAGCATCACATTTCTGGCTGTCAAACTTGCAGAATAAAATCTTTTTTAAAAAAAGAATTTATCAGAAAACAATTTTCAGGCACTGGTAAACTGCTTGAGCATTTTGGAAATGCATACATATTACCCAGCTATTTCTCATTTGATTTTACACACTTGAGCACGTTTTCAAATTCTTAGAGATGTCTCATTTGTCAGATGTAAAATGAGCTTAACCTAACAGTATTTCTTCTAACAGAAAGCAGTACAATATAAAATTAAACATCGAAGCATATTACAGGTATTTTGGATGTGTCATGAAATAAAATTACATATAAAGTTGTTGGTTATACATGTGTATTTTTCACTCTCACACACACACACACACACACACACACATGCAAATCCTCCTCTAGACAACCAAATGGTTCATTCCTTCCACTGTAGTCTTCCCACTGACGTCTTCCCCTCTCCACACTAAGTAAAATCAAGCCATACTTCTGACAATTTGTCGTATTTTTTTTTTAACACACTTAATCACCACCACCTTTTCCCTTACAGCTATATTTTCTTGATATGGCTCTTGGCATCAGCGAAGACAAACTTTCTGGTCATGGTGACTTCTCAAAAATATTCTAAGATGAGGCCTCCCCGGTGGCGCAGCGGTTGAGCGCTGGGTTGCGAAGCCGCCCGCAGCCTCTGCAGCGCCGGTTCGATCCCCGGCTGCTCCCGGGCCTCCGGAGGAGGGTCCCACATGGTGCGCAGACCTCTCCTGCCGCCCGCTGCTCCCCTCAGCAGTGTACTTCGGTCCTTCTGCCTGCTCTGCCCCCTGCTCTGGCTCTGGTGAATTCTCTCACCCTCCCGTGCTTCTGACTGTACCCAGTGCTTGTATAAATGAATGAATAAATAAATAAATAAAATAAAAAAAAAAATATTCTAAGATGGATTCTCATTGGCCTATTTTATAAAAGTTATCTCCTGAGTCAATACAAATGGGAAACCAGGAAAAGATGGTATCATCTGGGTAAGTGGCAAATCTGTGCTCACAAGGACAAGTTATATTACTAGAAGAATACAGAATGCACTAATAGTTATTAAATAATATTTCAGGTTAAAAATGCCCTCTTAAGCCAGTAAGAAAAATGGTTAATTAATAAAGAATGATGGGACAACTGGCTGTTTAAAAGAAAAGAGAGCTGCTTAACTTACACCTGTAACAACAACAACAACAAAAAAAAAAAACACAGAGTTGGGCCTCCCTGGTGGCACAAGGGGTTAAGCACAGCACTGAGAGGCTGTCCACAGCTGCCCACATGGCACAGCAGACCTCTCCTGTCTCGCCCGCTGCTCCCCTCAGCAGTGTATTTCTGTCAATCTGCCTGTTCTGTTCCCCTCTGTGTTTCTGATGAATTCTCTCACTCCCCCCGACCTGCGCCTCTGGCCTGTACCCAGTTCCCGTGTGCATAAATCAATCTTTAAAAACACACACACACACAGAAGTATATAAATAATGCAATTTAATGTCTGTTTCATGCATGTCAAAGAACATACCTGCCACAGTGTTCAGTTCCAAAAGGAAGTTACTTATGACAATACAAAGCACAACAAACAGAAACACTTAACTTTTAACTACTAGAATAACTTTATTTCTAATACTGAGTCTTTAAATAGGAATTCAATGGAATTAAACACACTCTCCTGCTTATTCTCCATTGGTTTCACCCAGAATTTCTCCCCACCTCTTGTGCCCACCTGGGTTGATCTGCAGATGGCACCTGGCATGGTCTCCAAATTTGGTGCCACAAATCAGGTAGTAGCAGTATCTCCTTAAAGTTGGTCCTCCATGGCAGCAGCTTTTATCCGGCCTCGCTAATACCTGTTTCTATTTTGCCCCTTTATAGTTTTGAGTGGCAATGGCTTCCTGCTGATGCTAGTTTTCAGGTACTTCAAAATCCCATGCTTTTGGCCCATACCACTCCAGTAGGTTTGCTATTAAAATCTTGAGATGGAACAGAACAGTTTTACACCACAACCATGGCTGACAGAAATAGCCAACCCTATACTAACTCATCAAAATAATTAATTTTTCCCCCAAATTACTGTCTAGAACATTAACACTTAGAAAAGTATCTATATCAAGGGGATTGCATTCAGCTCTAAGTAACAGACAGTCGTAAGAATAAAATGTCATTACCAAGGTAACACAAAGTCCTAGTTGACAACAGGTCCAGAGTTGTGCAGCTGAGTGCCATCACCTCTGAGCCAGGCTTTTCTCATCTTGTATACTGTGATCTTCAGGCTAGTGCCCTTTAGGGTTGTGAGCTTAATCTGGTATAACTTACAGGCATGAAAAAGTCCAGCAGGAAAGAAAAGCTCTCTTCTCATGCCATGATCTCATCATTGAGATCTTTCCAGAAGTACTGCTGAGTATTTTCCAAATATCTCACTGCTCCCACGCTCACCCCAACAAAATCATTAGAAAAGAATTTCCATGAGTAAATTAGACTGATCTGGATTTACCCCTAAATCATCTGAAGAAAGGATGGACAAGCAGTCTGGCAAGAAGCAGGAAATGGCTGTTGAATGGGTAGTATTTCCTGGAACTGCTCACCAATGTATTCTAGGAAGCATAGGAAACAGTAGGACAAAGGAGACAGACAATATATGATATTCTATTAAGTACAAACACAGTTCCTGGGTTATATACCACTTGGATTACATATACCATGCCTAAATACAGTAATGAAATACCATGAGAGTGAAAGCGGTGGCATTTCTACATAACATTTATAGAATGCAGTATTACTGTAATAACTGATGTTAAAACCTTTGCAAAATTCACATAAATACCATTGTTATTAACATTTACCTTATTGACTGAACCAGAAGCATACGAAAAACCTTGCAAAAATATTGTCTGTTTTCTTTATAGAAGTGGTTGTTCAGTAATAATGGCCATATTCATTCATATGTGGCAGCAAATTCAGAGGAAAGGTAGGTGATGTGGCTGTAAAATAGCACGTACTGGACAAACTGTCAGTAAACTCTGGTAATATTTAAAATAAGACTGGATGCAGAAGTATTTAAGCCTCATGTAAACATATTTTGACTTCTTTGTTGAACAGGCAGTTCGGCAATGGCCATAGTCATTTACTGTCAGCAAAGAGAGGTGTGGTTTGTACCTCGAATTTTCCAAATATATTTGCACACATATACAGTGGTATGCTGGTAAATATTTGACAAACATTTCTCTGAAAAAATAAAAATCCTAATTTCTAAACTTTTCCAATTTCCATGGTGACAATACTCCCATATAGCCAAGCTGCCACATGATGACACTGAATGTACAGTTGGAAAGAGATGTGCAGTAGCACAAATAGTATTTCATAGTGCAGATTCAGTAAGTAACCCAAAGAACAAAAATAGCAGCAAAATGATGTAAAATAATTAGGAAGGGATGAATGTTGAATATTGCCTTTGTTTTTCATGTAGTGTAAGTTTATATAATTTAATTTTTTGATAATGACTGTTTAACAACTGGCACACACAATTCCTGAAAATTTAACAAATGCACTATTTATAAGCTACTATGAGCTTCTCTAGCACACCACTATTTATGTGTGGGTATATGCAGTACAAAAATATTTACATGTATATTAATCTATAAAGACACTGGTGGCATTTAGTGTGGAAAATATTAATACAGACTACAACAGTTATTTAACTAAGGGTTCATATTTCTCCTTCACAAGCATATTGGGTTCTAATATACAAATCAAACATACTCCAAGCTTCTATTATATTAGCATACTCACATAAGGCCTGCAAACATCAAGGACTCTTCACATGTATGTATAGTGCTGTTGTCAACCTTTTTAAAGCTTCAGATTCCACTGTAAATATGGGCATAAATGCATATCATCCATTATACTTATAAAAAAAACTTGGATCATGTCCAGAATATACTATACAACAAAAATTCTACATAAAGGTTTTTACTACCTTACTTAAATGAATAAATTTCCTCAGTATAAATTTCCTGGTATAAAGTTTTAACTTTTGTTGAAAGCTTTCATACTCAAACACTAAGATTTTAGTCTAGTATTATCAGAAATACAATGAAATTATCACTTTCCAGTTATTTGTGGCATTCTTTGGGTTTCATTAACTTTATTTTCTAAAAGTGTATATTAAAACAGGTAGGAAAAGTCTTCTGAACATTCAAGATGTTGACAGAGCTTTCACCCTTGTGTGAATTCTCTGATGTTTAGTGAGTACTGACCTCTGACTAAAGGTTTTCCCACATCCATTACACTCATAGGGTTTCTCCCCAGTGTGAGTTCTCTGATGTTTAGTGAGAGCTGATTTCTCACAGAAGGTTTTCCCACACTCATTACACTTGTAAGGTTTCTCCCCTGTGTGAGTTCTTTGATGTACAATGAGGTTTGACTTGACACAGAAGGATTTCCCACATTCATTACATATAAAGGGTTTCTCTCCTGTGTGTGTTCTCTGATGTACAGTTAAGGCTGATCTGTGGCAGAAGGATTTCCCACATGAATTACATTCATAAGGTTTCTCCCCTGTGTGCGTTCTCTGATGTTCAGTAAGGTTTGATTTCACACAGAACGTTTTCCCACATTGCTTACATTCATAGGGTTTTTCTCCTGTATGTGTTCGCTGATGGTTGGTAAGGTGTGGTTTCTGACAAAAGGATTTCCCACACTCAGTACATTCATAGGGTTTCTCTCCTGTGTGTGTTCTCTGATGTTGAGTCAGATTTGATTTCTCCCAGAATGTTTTCCCACATTCACCACATTCAAAGGTTTTTTCTCCAGAGTGAGCTCTCCGAAGTTGGGTGAGATGTGACTTCTTGTTGAAATTAATTCCATTTGCACTGCATTCATAAGGTTTCCCCCCTATGTGTATTATCTGATGTTTAAAGAGGGCTGCCTTTTCCCATGTTTTGTGACTTACTTTATACTCATGGGGAATTTTTCTTGTGTAGGTTCCCTGTCGGATAATGAAGGCTGAGTTGTCACAGAGTATTTGTCCATACTCATTACATTCATAAGGATTCTCCCCCGTAGGAGCTCTCTGATGTCCCAATCTTAACTTCATATAGAAGGACTTTCCACAAATACTGCATTCACATGGCTCCATTTCCAAATCAGTTCTCTGAGACAAATTGAGCTTTAAACTTTGGATGAAGGTTCTTCCACATTCATTATATTTACAGAGTGTCTCTCTCATTTGAACTCTCTTATTTGTGAAAAAGGCTGCCTCCTCATGGAAGCCTTGTCCATTTTCATTATACTCAAAAGGTTGGTCAAAAATTGGCTGAATGAGATCCTGGCTACCATTGAGGATACTCCTTTTTTTACTATATTTATAAGATTTTCCTGCAGAAGGAGTTTTTTCATGCCTAATATCAAGGAGAAATTTCTCATATATATTAAACTCATCGAGCTTCTTTCTGGAATAGTTTTTCCTACTAATAACTAAGCCTGAAATATTTTTCAAGCTCATCTCACATGAGTCACATATGTTACATGGAAAATTTCTTGAAGGAACAGGTTCTGGGCCCAGACTGAAAGTTTTTCTTACAATATTACTACTAGCTACATTTAACATTTTGTTGGTGGTAAAAGCAAGCTGCCAAAACTGCTCATCTTGATTTTCCTGGCTGCTCTCTATCAGGTCATCAACTTTCCAGTCTTCTAGAAATGAGAAAACCACATCTCATAAATCCTAATGCATTTCTAATAGAATTGGATTTTACATAAATACCCTACTAAATAGTCAACTTTTCTGTTTCAGGTCAATTTTCCAGTATCAATTAAGTCCAAAAGAGAAAGCCAAAATGTACCACAGAGGAAACAGGCAATGCGATTTAACACTTTACAGATTTAATCTTTAAAACAAGACAGAAAAAGGTAAAATAAAATTCAAAGCACAAGGAGCAAGAGAGTGGCCAACAAATGGTGTCCAAGGAAAACAGAGGGAAGATGAACAATTTTTAAACATTAACTAACCAGAGATTAGATAATGGGTATAGCTAAATCACTCTAATATGTCAAGAGCAAAGGAAAATACTCATGAATGAAAATGACATGAAGAGTGTGATTAAGGCAACAGAGGAATATGCCAAATATCTTTGGTCATTTCCAAAGGTCTGGGGCTAAAACAAAAATGAAAAATATTTCAAAGGTGATAAACCCTAAGCCACTGGCCTAAGATTTCATTTCCTTTGGCTTCCATCCACCTATGAACTAACTCACCAGGGTAGCACTGGCTTGGAAATGCCTCCTCTAATATCCAGGGCTCTTCTCCTTGCTCTATCTTGAAGATCACTTCTGGCTTAGTAATACAATACCCTTTTAAGAGAAAATAATACAGGATTATGGCTAATCAGCCTGGCTTTAGGGACTCTGCAAAAATGATAGGGGAAAAAGATACAGCTTTATGAGCTGCACAAATGAGCCAATTCCTGAGGAGGTAAGAACACAGCATTCTTCATGGTGACTAAATGGGATCTCAGAGCCTTGACTGTCAAGCTTCAAATCTGAAAATTTCTTAGTAAATTTTATCAACTAAGAAATGCATGCTGTTGGTAGTATTTGGGGGAAAATCTTACCTACTGAGACAAGGTGGCTGTAATTTTCCAGGATCACATCCCTGTATAGTACCTTCTGAGCAGGATCCAGAAGATACCACTCTTCCTGGGTGAAGTCCACACATACATCTTTGAATGACACTTGTTCCTGTAATAATATATTCTTTTCCTGCATGAGCCAGGCAGATTTAGATGTCAAGATTACTTAAGAGAACTAATCTCTTCAGAACTTACTAGAAAATGACATATAACATGCCTTTTATGCTACAGTATCTTGGATAAAAAAATTACAAATTAAGTCCCACTGAGGGCCTAGTATTTGCTGCAAACACTACTAAAAAAAATCAAACACAGTTCCTATTCTAAAGGTATCAATGACCTGATATATATATTATATATATATATTAACATTTATTAAACTAGACAGTGTAGGAGCCAGCAGTATGCACAAACTGAGGTTAAGTTAGTTCTTCCATATTTTATTTTATATTATCAAGGAAAAGTTAGTTCTTCCATATTTTATTTTATATTATCAAGTTAACTTTTACAGAGGAAATATTTCATTGTTAGAAATGAAGAGTGGAACTGAAGTTATTATGGTACAGCTCACCACATTGAAGTAAAGAGTTCTATGTTCTACTTGCCCACCAGAAAAAGAATGAATCTTCTAAAAGAATTAGAAGAGATCACATGCTGGAGTCCCTACCAATTTTTGTTTGTTTTAAATTATGATGTTTACAATCCAATAAAAAATTTCATGGTATGTGAAGAGAGGCAATAAAAATAGACCCAAGGGGAATCCAGATATTGGAATAATAGACAAGATCTTCAAAATTAATGACTAACAAACAGTAAAACATGAAAAATTATTAACAAAATAAATGAAAATATGGAAGGGGCCTCCCTGGTGGCACAGGGGATTAAGATGCAACCTATTAAGCTGTCCACAGCCTCTGCAGCACAAGTTTGATCCTCCGGCCAGCCAGGGAGCAACCTACATGGCGCAGCAGACTCTCCTGACTTGCCTGCTGCTCCCCTCAGCAGTGTACTTCGGTCAATCTACCTGTTCTATTCCCCACTGTCTCTGGTGAATCCTCTCACCCCCCCCATACCTCTGGCCTGTGCTACAGCTCTTGTATGCATAAATAAATAAATCTTAAAAAAAAAAGATGGATGATATTTAATAGATGGTATATATCTTGTGAAGATAAGAATAAAGCAGGTCTCTGGGCCTCCCCTGTGGTGCAGCGGTTGAGCACTGGGTTGCGAAGCTGCCTGCAGCCTCTGCAGCGCCGGTTCGATCCTCGGCTGCTCCCCGGCCACTGGAGGAGGGTCCCACATGGCGTGCAGACCTCTCCTGCCGCCCGCTGCTCCCCTCAGCAGTGTACTTCAGTCCTTCTGCCTGCTCTGCTCCCCGCTCTGGTGAATTCTCTCACCCTTCCGAGACTCTGGCCTGTACCCCAGCTCTTGTATAAATAAAAATAAACCTTTGAAAAAGAAAAAGGTCTGGTACAAGGGTAACCCTTGGCTGCTATGTAGGAACTTGGATTTTAGGAAATTCTCACCATTCTGAAATAAAAATGGTTCACTGAGCCTAAACTATTTGTGTAAGCAACTTGATTTATGCTGCACATGTACATTCCTTTTGAGGTATGGAATTTTGTTTTGTACTATGTAGAAAATATCTATGTGACCAGCCCTTAAAAAAATGCCAAGCACTAATTATTTATTGAACATTGCTTGCAGATATTTAATGATTTTTTTATTACATCTCTTTTACTAGAGGATATGTGTCCTGTGAGATTCCACTGGGGAAAGTGCTTAGAAGTTTGTATGTAGTTTCATCTGGACTATGTCCCATGTGCCTTTTCTTTTTTGCTGATTTTGTTTTGTATCCTTTCACTTTAAAAAATCATAGCTACAAATATTACTACACACTGAGTGGTCCTAGTGGTCCTGCAAATGGTCTTGGGGAACCTCCAATATATACATATACCCACATAACTACAAGTATAAGAGTTTTTTTGTAGAAATGAAAGAATATCTTGTATTTTGTAGAAATATTTTGTAGAAATGAAAGTAAAAACTCAAAAGAAGTATTCAAAATCACATTAGTGAAAGAAGCAATCTGAAATATGTATGCACGTAAACAGCAGAGTACCAAAAATCATAAGGCAAAAGCTGATGAAGTTGAAAGGAAAACAGACAAATCTATAATCATAGCTGGAGCCATCAACAACCTTCAGCATTGAAGATCAAGCAGTCAGAAAACCAGTGAGTATATAGGTGATCTGAATAACACTAATAGTCAACATGAATCTAAAGGGACATACATAAAATACCCCATCCAAAGGGATAAAATACTATATTCTATTATCCTACTCAAGCTCAAAGGGAACATTCACCAAGATACACCATAGCCAAAGCCACCAAACTCACCCTAACAAATCTGAAATAATATCTATAACACAAAATGTTCTCAGACTACAATAAAATTAAATCAAAATTAATTAAGCAAGAGATAGCTGAAAATTCCTCAAGATACTTAAAAATTAAATAACACACTTACAAATAACCTTTATAAATAAAGAAATTTTAAATGAAAATACCATTTATTGAAATTTGTGGAATGTAGTAAAAGCAGTGTATCCAGGGAAACTTATAGCATCAAGTATATATAATATTAGAAAAGAAAGACTTAAAATCAGCAACATAGGTTTTCAGGTTAGCAAATGAGGAAAAAAAAAGAGGCAAATTGGGCCTCCCTGGTGAAGCAGGCGGTTGAGCGCAGCGCTGTGAACTGTCCACAGCCTCTACAATGCTGATTCAATCCCTGCCTGCCGCGGAGATGCCACATGGCGAGACAGATCTCTCATGTCTCCCCTGCTGCTACCCTCAGCAGTGTACTTCATCAATCTGCCTGTTCTGTTCCCTGCTCTCTCTCTGGTGAATCCTCTCACCCTCCCACACATCTGGCCTGTACCCCGGTTCTTGTATAAATAAATCAATCTTAAAAAAAAAAGTTCTTTAAAAAAAAAAGAGGCAAATTAAGTCTAAAGCAAGCAAAATAAGTAATACAGATTAGAATAAGTCAAAAAAATGGAAAACATGATAAAAGTCAATGAAAACAAAAGCTGTTTCTTTGAAAGGAGCAATAAAAATTTACAAAATCTCCAGACAATGTACCCAAGAAAAAAGAGAAGACACATACTATGAATTTCAAAAATGAAAGATAGGTTGATACCACTGATCCAAAGAGTGCATTAAAAGAATAATAAGAGAATACTATAATCATTGCTATGCTGAAAAATCCTATGCCTGAGTAATTTGGATGAAATGGACAGCTTTCTTAAAGGACTCAATTACCAAATTCACACAAGGAGAATGATAACTAGAACAGGCCTATAATCTGTTTTAAGAAATTTTTAAGCTAATAATTAAAACACTTCCAAAATAAAAAGCACCAAGCCCAGATGACATTACTGGTGAATTCTCTTTAAAATTTAAGGAAAAAATACCAATTATACACATTCTCCTCCAATAAGTAACATTTCAAAGTCCTTATATGAGGTGACAATTACCCTGATACCAAAACCACTTAAAGTCCACAAAAAACCTAAAGATTTTTCATTAACATAGATGCAAAAATCTTAAAATATTAGCAATTGGGGCCTCCCCTGGTGGTGCAGTGGTTGAGCGCTGGGCTGAGAGGCTGCCCGCAGCCTCTACAGCGCCGGTTCATTCCCAGGCCACCAGGGAGGGTCCCACACAGGAAGAAAAAAAAAAATCCGCAAATTAAATTTGACAATACATCAATAGAAAAATAGAAACCATAAGCAATTAGAATGGCAGGTATGCAAGGCTGTGTCATTTTTAAAAAGTCAATCAACATCACCACATTAATGGGTCAAACAAGAAAAATCAAACAATCATATCAATTGATGAGAAATCATGTGACAGACATTCAGCAAACTAGGGACCAAGGGGAATTTTCTAAACTTGATAAAGACCATCTAACGGGCCTCCCCAGTGGTGCAGTGGTTGAGCGCTGGGTTGCGAAGCTGCCCGCAGCCTCTGCAGTGCTGGTTTGATCCCTGGCTGCTCCCCGGCCACCAGAGGAGGGTCCCACATGGCGCGCAGACCTCTCCTGCCGCCCGCTGCTCCCCTCAGCAGTGTACTTCGGTCCTTCTGCCTGCTCTGCTCCCCGCTCTGGCTCTGGTGAATTCTCTCACCCTCCCGCGCTTCTGACTGTACCCAGTGCATGTATAAACAAACAAACAAACAAACAAACAAATAAATAAATAAAACATGCCTCTATTAAAAAAAAAATTTAAAAAAAAAAAGACCATCTAACAAAAACCCTACAGGGGTCTCCCCGGTGGTGCAGCAGTTAAGCGCTGGGTTGCAAAGCTGCCTGCAGCCTCTGCAGCGCTGGTTCAATCCCCGGCCACCGGGTAAGGGTCCCACATGGCGCGCAGACTTCCCCTGCTGCCCGCTGCTCCCCTCAGCAGTATATTTCATCAGTCTGTCTGTTCTGCTCCCCACTCTCACTCTGGTGAATTCTCTCACTCTCCCGCGCTTCTAACTGTATCCAGTGCTTGTATAAATAAATTAATTAATTAAATCTTAAAATAAATAAATAAGTAAATCCCTACAGGTAACATATTTAATGTTAAGCAACAGGCCTCCCTGGTGGCGCAGTGGGTTGAGCGCAGCGCTGTGAAGCTGTCCGCAGCCCCTGCAGCAAGGGTTCGATTTCTGACCGGCCAGGGAGATTCCCACATGGCGTGGCAGACCTCTCCTGTCTTGCCTGCTGCTCCCCTCAGCAGTGTACCTCGGTCCTTCTGTATGTTCTGTTCCCTGCTCTGTCTCTGGTGAATTCTCTCACACTCCCGCGCCTCTGGCCTTTACCCCAATGCTTGTATAAATAAATAAATCTTAAAAAAGAAAAAAAAAGAAGGAAAATAGGAAGACTTAAAAAATAATAATAATCTAAAACAATGCTACTACATTGAGGTGGAACTAGCATTTTCATCCTAATAGATCATCCTATGCTCTGCGAGTCTAAGACAGGACAATGATGCTCAAAGCATGTCTTATGACACCCTGAAACTGAGTACAGAGTCCTTTACTACCAAGTGCACACAATCAACTATCACTTGACTCTTAAAAATAACAAAACATCTGGAAACTATTAAAAGGTAAGGATCTAGAAGCCTCCCTAGTGGCGCGAGGGGTTAAGATGCAACCTATTCACAGCCACTGCAGCACGAGTTCGATAGCCGGCCAGGCAGCTACCCACATGGCACGGCAGACCATGTTTTCAGTCCATCTGCCTGTTCTGCTCCCCACTCTGTCTCTGGTGAATTCTCTCACCCTCCTGCACCTCTGGCCTATACCCCAGTTCTTGTATAAAAAATAAATCTTTAAAAAAAAAAAAAAAGACCAAGGTTGACAGGTAAAATAGACAGAGCAATGGGCCAAGGATGGGTAAACAAAGGACAAACAATAAACCCAGGCATAAGCAATGTATGCAGTAAAAGGAAAAGAAAACTTTACGAGGGCTAGAAAGGAAATGTATCAGAGTTAGGAAAGGAGACACAGGAAGGTGGAATCATAAATAGCAACAGACAACACTTTCAAAACAAAGATAATGTGTATTATAGTATCAAAAGCTGTACAAACATCAACTAAGAGAAAGACAAAAAAAGACAATTTGGTGCCCTTTTCCAAAGCTGATTTGTATGAATGATGGTAAGGGAGGGAGTGTTGAAATATACATGAAAAATACAGAAACAAATGTAAGAAATGTCTGAGATTAAAGCTACACAGATGATCTGATACAAATATCATGAAGAGCTATCCTGAGGACATGCAGTCCCTCCAGTCTGCCAAGTTTTATTCCTGGATCAAACAGGATCATGGGAGAGCTGTCTACCTCACTGTTTGGGACTATAAAAAAAGAGAGCTCTGTGGGCCTCCCTGGTGGCGAAGTGGTTGAGCGCTGGGCTGCAAAGCTGCCCGCAGCCTCTGCAGCGCTGGTTAGATCCCCGACCACTGGGGTAAGGGTCCCACACGGCACACAGACCTCTCCTGCCACCCGCTGCTCCCTCAGCAGTGTACTTCATCAATCTGCCTGTTCTGCTCCCCGTTCTGGCTCTGGTGGATTCTCTCACCCTCCCATGCTTCTGAGTGTACCCAGTGCTTGTGTAAATAAATAAATAAATCTTTAAAAAAAAAAAAAAGAGCTCTGTGAGTTCTATAGTTGACACTATGGTGTTTATAGGAAATAAAGTTATAGGAAATATTGGGCTGTTGGAAAAGTCAAGATTTATTTTTTCTATGTTTTTCAAGCAAAAATGTGTCATGCTTTTTCCCACCACACAACATCTTGCATTTTAGGGTTGTTACCAAAAAGTCAGAGAAAACCTTCAATAACTTGGATAACTTAAAATAAAAAAAAAAAAACCCTGCATCTAATTTCACCAAATTCTGTACTTTAGATTTGCTGCTCTTGCTCTAGTTCCTTTAATGTAAATTTTTGTCTAGTTCTTTTTCATTTTAAAAATGTAAATACTTACAAACTTTAGAAAACCTACTTAAAAAATATGGAAACCTAATTTAAAACAAAGTGAGAATAAATAAACAGAAAACTCACCTGGGATTTGTTCATTTTCTGCTCTTAGTGGAGAAGGGAGAGCTAAGGGAGAAGGGAGAAAAGAAGTCAAGAGAGACTTGGCCCACCTGGCAGTTCCTGGATTCACCTGCCTACACAGCTCCACACACAAGATACTTACGTGTCCATGTGTGGCTCCGATATATGTTGAGTTTAGACATGATACTTTTCACTGAGGGAATGTAAACATTTGTTTCTTATAGATTTATTAGCAATTTAGGTTCTGTGACACAGAAAAATTAAAAAACATGAGAAGATGAGTTTAACATATAACAACCTAAAGGAGGAAACACTACGAATTTGCCAAAATTTATTGGGGCGGGGGAATCTCCAGCTACATTATCTATTTACCTACTAACACCATAAATCCCTTGAGGTCACCTAATCCAAGAAACCTCTAAAAAAAGGGATGGGGTGTTTAAGGCAGAACCAGAAATCTTTAAAATGTTGGTTTTAATCTATTTAAAATTTTCAAAAGGATCTTTCAATAAGAAGGTGACTCTGACCTAAATCTGCAATCCTTTTAATCTTGGTTCTGCACTAACAAAGCCAGTCACCTTCTCAGACTCAATGTTTTCTTTTAAATAAGGTCACAACAGATAACCCCAAAAGGAACTCCCTGCACTACCATCCTGTGCATCTGTAAGGCCAGAAGACCAGGACAGCAGCATCTCTCTGCTGTCATCAACAATGGGACACTGAAAGCAGCTCACCTTAGGAAAAGAGTGAAGGAGAATAATGGGAATACGGGGTTTTTAGGAAGAGGTAGTTAACAGACTTCCTTTAGCTATGGCTGGTGAGCTTTTCATCTCTGACAATACCCTAACAACCTCTCCAAAGAGGTGACATTTCCTGTACAGCCTGTGTGCCCACCCCTGTACAGCCTCTGCTCCAGCTCACCTCTCTCTTCTCAGATTTGTCCCAGGCCTTCCACCGTCACACAGACTTCGATGGCTTCAGGATACTGTGTCATGATTATATGTAACAAATAACAAATGAATACATAACAACTTGGGATCCGGAGAATGTTAGAGCCAGGAAAAGGGTTAGGCGGCTAGCTCATCCAGCCCCTTCCCTCTTCCATTTCACAAATGAGTTAACTGAGGAATGGAGGCCCTAGAGGCTGGGCCAAGCTCCAGCCACAAACAGTACAAACATAAAAAATAAATACAATAGCAGCTGACAACCTGTGTGCTCAGGACGACACGATGCGGCAAGTTTAACATCCGCATTACATTTACAGACAAAGGAAACCGAGTCTCACGTTGGTTATGTTATCCCTGTAATTCATTTATATCAGCACCCCCTGGCCTCCAAGCCAGGGGCGTTCATTCCCCGCACCCCCACATCTGCCCACTCCCCATCAACCCAGAATACAAGCCGCGCAGCGCACACGTCCCACGTCGCGCATGCGCACTCGCTCTTTCCCGCAGCCCCCACCCCTCCCGTGGGCCCGGCGCACTCATCACGCACGCGCCCTCCCCAGGCAGCCCCGCTCCCTCCCCGCAGGCCCGGCGCACACGTCACGCACGCGCACTCCCCAGCAGCCGCCACACGACGGCGCCGCCTGCTCGGCTCCGGTGCTGGACACCTGCGGTCCGGTGGGCCGAGAGCCCGCGTTCCCAAGCCGAACCCGGGCACATTCAAACAGAGACGCCCCCGCCCGCCGTACCATCAACTCTCTGGGCGCCACAGACGCCTGGGGTCCCGCCGGTGTCTGGGGGGCTCCTATCCACAACCGGGCACTGCTGCTTCGACCCGAGCGGCGCGGGGTCCCCTCGGCCCTCGCCCCCACCCTCCCGGGCTCACCCGCAGCTCCCGAGCCGCGTAGGCCCGGAGGCAAGGGATTGTTTCCCACGAGGGGCTGCAGGCCGGGGAAGGCGGCGGGAGGAGAAGGCGGGGATGCACATGCGCAGAGGGAGGGAGGGACGGGCGCGGGGCGCAGAGCTGGAACCCAGTGCTGACAGCTGGGCCGGGAGAGTGCTTCTGTCGCTAGAGCAGTGATGCTTCCTTCGTTCCTGAGTTGCAAGATGAAGCCTTTAGGAGCACCTACATAACAGGGTTTAAGTGAAGACTAAGTCTTTTATGTTGTCAAAGCAGTTTAGAAAGGTGTAGGCACTTCAGTTGTTCAGTGCGTTTCTCAAGATTCTCCTACCACTTCTTTAGAGAGCACCTGGAGAGTTTCTGCCTCCTGTTAGAGTGGAGAGGTTACTGAGATATCTTGCTTGGAGCCAGAATTCCGTTCATGCCCCCAGAGATGTGCATCAAAGCGCTGTGTCTTTTAGAAGCAATCCAGGAGATTGGAAAGGGGGGTTGTATAAATTTCATTTGTGAGCATGGACAAATGTTATTTTAGTTTTGACAACTTTAGTTTCTAGTTAGTTGAGATAAATTTATTTTCTATGAATAATGTGACCACCAGCATGGTTTTTCACTGGAATGCGGGAACAAAAGCAAGATAGCAATTTAGTATTGAGCAATAATCCAAAACTGTTCATATTTACGAAAATTTTTCCATACTAAACTAAAAGAAGGAAGCATATGCTCACCCCTCAGGAACAGCAATACTGTTCCTGGAACCAAATATACATTTTTTTGATTTGCACATCCTCCTGACAGTGTTCACACTAATCATATGGGCACATTATTTTGTCTCTATTCATAAAACTATATATAATAGCCCCCTGGATCAATGTCATTTTTCACTTTCAATTTTTTAATAACCTCACATTTAAAGAAGAGTTGCAAGACAGTGCCCAAAAGCCCTTCACCCAGCTTCCCCTAATGTTAACATTTTACATAGCCTTAGTACTGCACATGTATGGAAACTAAGAAAGTAACACGTGTACAATTCTGATAACTAAAGAGTATATTTTTATCAGTTTTTCCTCAGATGTCCTTTTACTGATCCAGGATCCAATCCAAAATACCACAGTGCATTTAGTCATCATGTCTCTTTAATCTATAACACTCTCAGTAATTCCTTGTTTCATGACCTTTGGGTATTGAAGAATTAGTGGTAATGACACTGGAATTGTAGGTTTTCAGGCCTAGTCTCCCACCCAGGAATGGATCTCAGGCTGCAGGGGCAGTTCTGAGCTCCAGCCACTAGACCACCAGGGGTTGTTGTCTCATGAAGCCGCAGCAGGAACTTCGCGGGCGCTCAGGCAAGCAAAGCGAGAAGAGGCAGATTTGTTTAGAAAAAGAAAAAGTTTATTGAGAAAAGGAACAGAAATAAAGTGGGACTTCAGGCCATGGAACCAGGCCAGGGAGGGGCAAGGAAGCCAAAGTGGAGTTGTGTTTCAGGGAATATAGACTTTCTTTCCCTGATTATTCTAAAGCTCCACTAGTCTCTCTGTGATTGGTTAGTTCTTGGTGGTCTCGCTCACTGCCTAAATGTCTCTGTGCCCAGAACCAAGTCTCCGTGTCCCAGCCCTTATCTTTTTTTCTTCATTGCCCTCTATTTGGAATGTCTTGTTGACCCTAAGGTCATAAAGCAAGTCCCTAATGTCACAAGTCCTGGGGTGTTTGATTAGTCCCCTTTGGAATTTGTTGTCCTTATCTTTGGAGGCTTCCTTAACTCTCCTGAAGCCCCTGCACTGTCCTTGAGGCTGCCTAATTATCCTTAACTTGTCCTAGGATTCAGTAAGATATTATGAAGCATGTTCCTGAATTTGAACTTGTCTGATACTTTTGAGACAGGGCAAGCTAGGGTTATTAGGCAGTTTTTAGGGACAGTGCAGGAGGGGACCTCTGAAGAATTTAGGAAGGCTTCAGAGATAAGGACAACCAAAGAAATATAACCAATTCCATTAGGAAAACAAACACCCCAGGACCACGAATAATATTAATACTGTTAATGCTAGTCCTGGTTTCCTTCAGGTGGTAAAGGGAGGCGGAGATTGGAGAAATGGAGAGTGGTTTGATTTATGGTCACATTAGAAGGGCAGCTGTTTAACTTCAATGCAGGGATGCGCATCCAGAAGACTGGGCCATAAATTTAAAGATGCAACTAATGGGGAAAGAGAAAGCTGTTAGATAAGGAATGTGAAGATCCCCGCTCAGTTGCAAATTAAGTGAGACAGCCCAGCCGAGAACTAACCAATCACAGAGAGACTGGTGGAACTTTAGTATAATGAGGGGAAAAAGGTCTATATTCCCTGAGACACGACTCCACTTTGGCTTCCTTGCCCCTCCCAGGCCTGGTTTCCTGGCCTGGGAGTCCCACTTTATTTCTGCTCTTTTCCTCCTCAATAAACTTTTTTTTCTAAACAAACCTGACCTGCCTCTTCTTGCTTGCTTGCCTGAGCGTCTGCGAAGTTCCTGCTGTGGCTTCGTGAGACACCAACCCATGGGGGGTCTAGCAGCTGGGACTCAGCGCTGCCCTGCAGCCTGGGATACGTTCCTGGCTGAGAGACTAGGCCTGACAATTCCGGCATCACTTTCTTCTAATTAGAAAAATACCATAGATAATACGCCCTACCCATATATCAGAGGATACATTATTTCTGCATGACTTTTTGCTGTTAGCCTTGCTTACTTGGTAATAGTGGTGTCTGTTTTCTCCACTATCTAGTTAAAACATTTTCCCTTTTCAGTCTGCTCTTAGAAATGGGTTAATAAGTCCAGTGCTCACTTAGGGTAAGAGGAAAGAAACTCCATCTCAAATCTGTGGTCACTTTTTTTTTTTTTTTGTAAATTGAGGGATTTTTAAAAAAGATTTATTTATGCATAGAAGAACTGGAGTGTAGGCCAGAGGTGCAGGGGGTGAGAGGATTCACCAGAGACAGAGTGAGGAGCAGAGCAGGCGGACTGACTGAAATACACTGCTGAGGGGAGCAGTGAGCAAGACAGAAGTCTGCTGTGCCATATGTGGGTAAGCTCCCTGGTTGGGGATCAAACCCAGGCCACATCAATGAGAGCAGTGAGACTTAACCCCTAGGCTACCCAGGAGGCCCTGTGATCATATTTTAAGAGCACCTCATGTATCGTTACATTTAGGGAGAGACCTGATGCTATGCAAATGTCCTGTTTCAACTTAGAGGTTTGGTGACTAATTTTACTTTTCTTTTTTTTTTAAGATTTATTTATTTATTTATACAAGCACTGGGTGCAGTCATTAGCACAGGAGGGTAAGAGAATTCAGCAGAGCCAGAGAGGGAACAGAACAGGCGCACCGAAGAAATACACTGCTGAGGAGAGCAGCGGGTGGCAGGAGAGGTCTGTAGCGCCATGTGGGACCCTCGCTGGCAGCCGGGGATTGAACTGGCGCTGCAGAGGCCATGGACAGCTTTGCAGCCCAGCGCTCAACCGCTGCGCCACCAGGGGAGGTCCCAATTTTACTTTTCATTGGTGGATCTTGCCTGCTAAAATTACTATCCTCGATGGAGGAAAGACAGAAAACCTAAAGGAGCCATCACAAGACTAAAACCTGACTCACACAAGGAGGTGGGGGAAGAAGGGATTAACATGACCATTAACCCAGCTATAGAAATCAAGATCTTTAGGCACCAGTGCCTTATCACAACGCATAAGGCCCAAGAAGGTATCAGACACTGTAGGGAGTGTCCGGAGCCAAGACCTGAGGGTAAAGATACAGAGATTGGGCCCATCCTGAAATCTCCGGTCCCTATCCTAGAATCTCTGGTCCCTTTCGGATTCCCATTGTTATCCCAAATCAGCAGGACTCGGGTCACTCCACAAAGGAGTGAGCCCCTCCCGAAGAGAAAAAGACTCTATCAGTGCAGTCTCCACACTGGCTCCGGGCAGCAGTCTCTCTGCCCACCAGTGACTATGCGGGTGCCTCTTTTCACCAACTCTCTCCCTCTGCTGGGCAGCAGCCTTCCTGCCTGCCCATGACCTGTACCATGCCGGGACTTCTTACTAACCTCCCTCTGCAGAGGCCGCTCTCCTCAAGGTCTCCCGCCTGCAACCATGCAGGCCTGTCTCAGCAAACCTCTCCCTTTCGGAGCAGCTCTTCCTGCCCGCTTGTCTCTGCAAGTGTCCTTCATTCTTCTGTCCCCTTTCCCTAATAAGCCTGCTCTTTAAATATAACTAACCTCTCTGTCTCGTGGAGAAACTCACCAGGGAAATTCACCATGTGCCGCTGAAAGGGGAGCTCTGGTGAAACCTTTCCCAGAGTGAACCCAAGGACCCCGCACTCCAAACTCCAAAAACCACATCACCGTGGTGTTCTAAGTGGTGATTTTTCTGTTTGACTTATTCCTTCTATGTTTATTAGTTGGAATTCTGTAGAGAAAAATTTTCATTTCCCCTGTTTACTTATTTCATCACATCTATCAGTATGGACTCAGAGATATTTATTCTCAATTACTGTTAGTCAACCCCA